CATTGCTTCATAAAAACTGTCCAATCAAGAAAATACATGTATGTGTCCATTTGTATACTGTGTTTTACAGAGTCTTGTACAGCAGACAGAGTCAGAGCATCCAGACTATTACCTGTTACTGGTGTCTGTGCAACAACTCCGATCTTTCATGACCCATTACAGTCATCTGCTACAGCACAACCAGGAAGTCCTCACACACAGTCATGCCCTGCGAGAACACACACACAACCTGTGCACACACCAGCAGGAGCGGCCCTCACACACCCGAAAAGAGCTTAGCAGGTAAGTTCAAATCAACAGATATGTGTGTTTTTGTGTTGTAAGTTTTACTGGCTCTTGTTTTTAATGTCAGGTCTACAGTGAGACAGCTGTATAAAGTCGACTATGAGAAAAATTACAGCAACACCGGTGCACAAAAGTGAGTAGATAGATGCACCAATCTAACATATCACAAAATGAGCTCTCTGTGAATTCATTGGTGTTTCTTTAAATTCAAGCACTGTTGTTTTTCCCCCCATGCCTTCATTATGCCCTTCATGATTTTTTTTTAACTCTTGGCCCAGAGATTAATTACTGAAATATAATAATCCATCATAAAAATATATAATAGACTTATATTTAAAACTATCAATTAAACAAAAAGTGAAAAAAAACATAAACCATTGTTATGTTTATTGCGTGAAAATCAACACACTCACAATTTTCCTACTAAATTGAGTTTCTTTAGTGAAGAGAGTGTTTGAGATTTGGGACATTCAATGTTTTTTTTAAGCAACATACTTGTATTCATCAAGGATGCATTAATTCGATCAAACGTAACAGTAAACACATTTATAATGTTACAAACAATTTCGATTTCAAATAAATGCTGCTATCTTGAACTTTCTATTCATCATAGAATTCTGAACAAAAATATTAAGCAGTTTTAAATATGAATTATAATAAGAAATCAGCATATTAGAATGATTTCTGAGTTATCATGTGACACTAAAGACTGGAGTAAATGCTGCTGAAAATTCAGCTTTGCCATCACAGGAATTACATTTTAAAATATATTAAAATTGAAAAGTTATTCTAAATTGTAATAATATTTCACAATATTACTGTTTTTACTGTATTTTGATCAAATAAATGCAGCCTGGATAAGCATTAGAGACTTTAATGTCCCTTTCAAAAACATTAAAAAGGTGCCCGTAATTAAAGAAACACCCTTATACATTTTCTATTTGTCTTTTTTATAAGTGATCCTTCTCGACGTAACAAACACTACACTGACTATGAAGCGGCACCCTATCACTACGACCCAGAAATCCCATCCCCTGTCTCCTGCCTGTCCGACTCTGACTCTCGCCACAAAGCCATCTCAGTTCCTCTGCGCAGCATTCCAGAGACACAGAGAGCGGGATCTGTCCTCTCTGATGCACTGGGTGTGCTCTTTCCCTACAGAGCTGGAGGCTCTCGCTGCTCAAGCCCATCTCATTCCTCTGACTCCAGCATTGATATCGCCTTTGTGCATTGTAGTCCTTCTCATAGTCCACCTAGACAGTCCCACAGTAGGGGGCAAAGTGCTGGGGGTGTGGTTTATAGGTCCAACAGAGGCTGTGTGTCGCCTGACTCAGCAGATATTGTGAGACCACGTCCTCTACAGGCAGTGCAGAGAAAGAGCAAATCACTAAACGGCCTGCAGCTGGACAGTATTGATATCCACGCCCACCAGACAAAAACTCCCGCCCACCCGAGGCTGGAGCGCCAGTCAAGTGGCAAATCAAGAAAGAGACACAGCAGTCCAAAACACAGATATGAGACACACACTGACACAGAGGAGCAGCCACGACTAATACATCAAAAGGTACACGCACATTTACATATAAACACAAACATGTATATAAACAGATTATTAGTGGTTATTAGCACCTTAGCGACTGTATTGCATAGGGTTGCAAAGATTTAAAAAATAAATACATTTCAGTAAATTTCCGGAAACATTCCAGAATTTTGAAAACTTTAATCTTAAATTTGGAAACCTTCTGAAATTTTTTTGAAAGTTTTGGAAGGTTTCTGGACATTTACCAGAAATGTTCCACCCCTTTGCAACCATAGTATTGCATAGCCCTGGCAACTACCCACAACACCCTAGCAAACACAAATCAACTGCATGGCAACAACTCATAACAATGTAGCAAATGCATAACTACACACAACACTCCAACAATTGCATAGTATTGTGATAAAAAACCCTCAGAAACAACTTGACACCATCTACTCACAAAACCCTAGCAACTGCATAGCAATGCACTAAAACCCTTCAGAACACCGTAGCAACTGCATAGCAACACCTTGGCAACCACCCACGGCATTCTACTTCTCTTGTAATTTCATAGCAATGTGTTAAAATCCTTCTGAACACCTTAGCAACTGCAGAGCAATGTACTAAAAACCTTCAGAATTCCTTAGCAACTGCATAGCAACACCTTGGCAACCACTCACGGCATTCTACTTCTCTAGTAATTTCATAGCAATGTGTTAAAAATCCTTCTGAACACCTTAGCAACTGCAGAGCAATGTACTAAAAACCTTCGGAATTCCTTAGCAACTGCAAAGCAACACCTTGGCAACCACCCACAACACTAGCAATTGCATAGCAACACCTTGGCAACCACCTGCAAAACTAGCAATTCCATAGCATTGCGTTAAAAACCTCTCAGAACACCTTAGCAAACAGCAGCATGGCAACCATCCACAACATCATAGCAACTGTGTAGCAATGCACTAAAAACACTTTAGAACACCTTAGCAACTACATAGCAACACCCTGGCAAGCACATTAGAATTATCCCTAAAAGCTGAAAATGAAAAGCAAATTGATTTAGTATGCATTTATTTAATTGTGAGTGTGTGTGAAAGCTCATTCTGCTTGTTCCTCAGGATGCTAGAAGCCTGGTGTGGGAGGAGATCAAATTGAGGGGTGTGTCTGATGACTATGACCACACCCCCTTGAGTGAGCGCAATAGGAAAGAAGGAAAAGGATTTAGGAACTCCTTCAAAAAGCTCTTTAAGAAGAAGTGAGTTAATAAGAGGAGACACACGGCTACTTTGCACGTCCTCACATTTAAAGCCATGATATTTTGTGTGTGTGTGCGTGTCAGGTCTAGTGGGGACGGAAAGGAGAAGACAACAGTGAAAGCTGAGTGTCAAAGCAGTGGAGAGCTGGAGACCACCAAAGCCCCTCGCACAGGAGACATTGACAGAGGAACTGCTGTTTAAACTGTTTTACTAAGTGGTTCTCAACTGGTTTTGTGTCAGGGTACAGATTTTACAATGAACTTCAAGTGGTGATCCAACACAATACCACAAATGCTTGGTCTTTAGTGTTCGCTCTCTAAATATTTCTGGAATGTTGAGGGTTTCATGCTTTCGGACACAAAACATTTTGTATGAGAAATCAATTATTAATATAATTTTGGCCAGAAGTTTGAGAACATTTGGTTCTTGCATTGTTTATGCAGATATATACTCACACATATAAACAAACAGGCACACTTATCCATCTTTTGTTCAGTTTATGCTGGGCCGCACTGACAGGATGCAAAACTGTATCTGATAAAATGTATAATGTTAATTACTCATAAATAAAAATACTGCTATAAATACATGTTGTATACTTTACAAATAAAAATGTAAATACATTTGAATGCAAATGTAAATGGTAACAATTAAAATAAAGCAATAATAAAGTGTATATATATATGACAAAAAAAACAACACCATTCAGATGTATTTGATATTTTTTCACCTTGGTTTAATGTGTTAAATCTCATAAAAGAGTTTCACATTTGAAACAAAATATTGGCTTTATACAGTCTGTAAAACTCAAATTACTTTACACTATATACAAGACATGTGCATCACATCACACAAGAGAACGCTGCTGTAGTGAACATGGAGTAGTTTGACACGCTCTGTACTCAAAGCATTCAAGAACACATTTGTGAATCTTTCAAACATACAATGGCGTAAATGGAGATTAGGCTCAGACATGGGTTTCATTTGGGTCTTCACAAAAATCCGCATCATAGATCATGTGACAAGACCAGGTTTAAAACTGCTGTTAGGGAGATATTCTATTTGCAGTAGAGTTATAATGGCGCATGATCTATGTAAAGTTTTTTAATGCATGTTAGAGGTAGACACGACATGCTAAATTTGCGCATTCAGCTAAACAAAACTTGATTTTGCTTTTTTGACACAAAAAGAACAGTTAGTATTCAGATAAGATGCCATACAAACTGATGAAAATGTGAGAAATCTTCACAGACAGCTACATTCTAGAAAGAGCTCCCCATTTCAATATTTACACATACTGCATTCATAAGACATTATGTTGTCTCTATTCTGTTTTCAGTGAGCCTGTTAAATAAGATTTCTTAGTTTGTTATACTCTTACTATTGACATCACAGCCTGAAGCATGCACTCACCATTAACACACACACAGCACGCGGAGAAAAGCACACGTGAGCAAACGTATTGTGCAAACCTTCAATAACAGTGCTTGGTAATGAACTAAAACAAGAAAACAAATATTTAAAATGAAATCACAAATGATAACGGACTAAATAGCAACACAAAAAACGTACGTAAAAATATTAGCCTGGATCATACCGTGGGATGATTTTGTCTGGGAATTTGTGTGTTGGTATGGAAACAGGTAACTTCTGCATTTGTCGAGCTTGCTCAAAGAGCCCCGTCAGGTTGTAAGAGTACAGCTGAGATGCTTTACCTGTAGAAAACACACAAATATGTGCATAGAATTACATGATGGTGAAGCTAAAACATTAAAATATCCTTCAAATGCATAGTAAATCTCTTCCTTATTGGTTTTATCTCACCTGATATTGAATGCAGCCAGTTGTTCATTACATAGACCCATGTGCACCTCCGTGGAACCAACTGTATGTGATTCAACAAAATAAACAGATAAAACAAATCAAAATTCAAATGATTACTCATCCTTAATTTCCTTTCAGAGCAAACACATAATTATTGATTACATACATAAAATCAATTTATAATTTTTATTATACCTTTTATAAATATGATTAGTAAATGTGTATGTATATACCTGCAGGGTCTCCCGACAAACATATGCAATCTGGGATTCTGACAACGGCCCGGTAACTGTAAGATACAGATATACATGTATATGAGAGATACTGTTGTATATGAACGGCTCAAGATGATAAATGCATTATAAACTCCAGTTTTGATGACAATAATTACCATGGTAAATATCCTGGAGTGAGCCTCCACCACAGTATTCCATGCTGATCCATAATTTATCTCTCCTGAAACAGGGATATTAAGACATCAATTATCAAATCTTGTCATACCAATTCTGTCCACAACAGCTTAAAAGAGGTACATGTATATGTTGGGTTGTGGCCTGTATTTCAAAGTTAGTAAAAAATATCAACAAAGTTAAAAAAAGGGAAGTAGTATTCAAACAATTTGGGTCAATATGATTTTTTTATGTTTTTGAAAGAAGTGTCTTTCAAATTTTATTCATTTGATTAAAAATACATAAAAAACAGTAATAGTGTGAAATATTATTACAGTTTAAAGTAACGGTTTTCTATTTTTCCATTTTATATTTTAAAATGTAATTTATTTCTATGATGGCAAAGCTGAATTTTCAGCAGTCATTACTCTAGTCTTCAGTGTCATACTAATATTTGGTGCTCAAGTAACATTTAGTTATTATCAGAGTTGAAAACAGTTAACAGTTGTTGCTTTATACTTCTGTGGAAATCCATTTTCAGGATTCTTTGATGAATATGAAGATCAAAAGCACAGCATTTATTTGAAATAGAAATCTTTTGTAACCTTATAAAATCTTTACTTTGACCCCAAACTTTTGAATGGTGATGTAGTGCTAGTAAAACATAAGTGTTTATTTTTGCTGAAATGTACAACCAGATGCATATTAACATATTAAACAAAGCCAGTGCCGGTGTGTGATTGCATGCGTGTACATGTACCTGAGGTAACTGCCAAAATATGCAACAATGTTTGAGTGTTTACAATCTTTCATCATAATAATCTCCTGCTGCACCACGTCAAAGTCCTCTCCTGCAAAAATCAATTGACAAAATAATTCAATAAAGAAACATGTAAAGTGCAAACAGAACAAAAAACATGGGAACTGTGATTTTGCACTACAAAGTGTGTGAACATGCTGCCTGTATTTAAAATGCATCACACCATTACAATGCATGAACACACCACATTTGTAATATTTAACTATTCAAGTATAGATGGACAGTGATAGGGCACTATCTAGAGGTGGTTAAGCAGACAGTGTGTGCAGCAGCATTGGGACGGCTCACCTGGCTCTAGTTTGATGACTTTGATAGCAGCCAGTTCCCCAGTGTTGACATTACGAGCCTGGAAATGGAAAGCATAAGAGTCCATAAGCCCAAAAAGGTGTGCAATAACATGATTACACTTGTTATAAGGATCTGACTCACATTAAAAGATCAATCTGCTCCAACAACTCATTAAAACTGAGTGGGATTAAGCAGGTTTCCAAAACATTCCCCTCATCTACCATTGTTTGGACATTGAAAGCTATGTTGTTTAGACTTTTTAGAAAAACTAACCCATACAGTTGTCTATGCACATTAAGCTGATATTTGGAGAAAATATTTTAACTACTGGTTAACCAATGCTTCAAATATCTACAGACATACAAATGAAAATGTAATGACAGCAAATGAGACTGTTTAAATGAAATGAACACTTATTTTAGAAAATATTTCCTCAAAAATAATTTGAGAACCGAAATAGTTCAGTATACAATGACAAGATTAAGATAAAGAAATGAGAACAACTTCTGTTTTGCGTTCAAATGGCCAAGGCTATCACCTGCTGCTCAGATATTTCCAAATTAAACCACCTGATCGATATATCTATCAATAATTATAATTTAATAATAACTATAATAATAATTGATTATTAAATTATACATTATAAATGAGAATAAATTACACTTTTGAATATATTAAAATAGAAAACTGTTATTACACATTTTTTAAATATTTCACAACATTGAAGTTTTTAACTAAATGTTTTTAACAATTTAAACATTTGAAAAATCTTACAGACTCCAAACTTTTAAACAGTAGTGTGTTTTTCAGGAATTTCTAGAACCAGTATTTTGCATGTTCTTTCACAAGTTAAAGCACAAACACACTCACAAAGGCTTCATCTATAAGACCGAACTGAGAGACATCTGTCTGCCAAACAGAAGTGAGGATGATGTCATCAGTGACACAAAGAGAAAGAGAGATTTTCCAACACTTTATCTCAGTTTTATATGGAATTCCATTCAGCATTCCAAGTAATACGGAACAGAAGCAGCTGGTGAAATGTGTGCACTGATGTTCAAAGCACTGTGATGGCTGTCAAAACTAGGACAAGGAGAATATCAAATAACTTTCATATGCATACACACACACACACTCTCGCACGGTGCCTCTCCGATCGCAGTGAGGCTTTTCACGGTCCTGTAATAAATATGCTCAGGGCTGTTTCTACTTTATTAAAATAGCTAATTGATAAATCTAATCAGGAGGAACATATGTAAGCAATCAGAATTATATTGCATGAATCAACCAGATTTTATTACTGACTACTATATAGAGGAAAACCTGGGCAACCGCTGCCAGGGAATTTGTGAAACCACATCATATTTTCACACCCCTGGGTATCTGAGGCCCAATTTCAGGTCTACTCTCTGTAGAGTTGGCAGAAAAATATTTTGCTTGTAGGTTTAGTTATTCTGATCCTGCATTTCAGACATGTCAAGATGAACCCATTCAATTATCCACCTACATCGAGGCTCTGATTAAGTGAACGTGTGTGAATTACATGGCACACACCCAACACACTCTCACCCACGCACACTGTAAAACCCCAGGAAGAGGGAACAATTACGAACAAACAGGATGGACACAGTTGTGGGCAAACACACTCACACAGACCCACTTGCAGTTTAAAGTTCAGCTACTTCCTGTCACCAAAGGAAGTCAGACACATGTTAATGTTTCTTAAGAATATGATTGCGATTGCCCTCCCTCTTAGATCCCAAACACCTTGCAACAGCCCTCAGTAGTGACCATCTGCAACATATTGGTCAATTATTGCCTATTGAGTGTTATTTTTATTTATTTTTTTTATTCTTGCCTTTGTTTACGTCACATATATCACATAAAGAGATGCAGGACTTTGAGTTTGACAGCCCTGCACTGGCTCTCTCTGGTTAAATAGACCTGCTAGGCCCTGTGCATTATGAAAACAAAGATCTCTCCACCCTTTCAGGATATTTCACCATATCCGAGTTGCAAAATTGCTACAAAACACAGATACACTCCGGTCCAGTGTAAACACACATCTGTTGTCTCCCGCATACACTGGTTACATTGGTCAGTTAAGTCCCTAATGTGCTGTCTATCTAAACAGCATTTTTTTTGGACACCAAATGCGCATTCTGACCATTCGGAAAACGTAAATGCTGCCAAAAATGCAGTCTAGGTAGGTAGCTCGCTAGGTTCTGAGACCCAGTTTATCTTTACCTTGTACACATCCCCATAGGTTCCGCTCCCGATCCTCTGGATCAGCTCAAAGTCCTCCTGAGGGTTTCTGCGCGACAGATCCAGGCTTAAATTCATTGTGCGAGTCACCGTTTGCACCCTCCGATTTATTTACGTGTCCCTGATGTCAAAAACGGGAGGGGGTGATTATCGCAGAGACATACAGTAACGGAGGGATATGACGGTCCAGTCCCACCGAACTACAACAACATGGCCTCCTGTGCGCATGCGCAATGCGACTGCCTGACAACACAAACACACTGAGGATGGAGAAATTTCTACACGTAATAAACCAGCAACAATTTGAAAAACTAAGCCACGCTTAAAATGCATTATTGTAATTTTAGTAGACAGCAAAATACCAAGCTTAATAAAAGACAACACGTTATTTTCAGGCAAAACATTTAAAACAAAACATAACAGTTTGAAATTATAATAAAATAGATTTAGCCCATTGTTTAAAATTTAGACAAAAAGTTTTTTGCAAGCAAAACATGTCAAGGACAGTTGTTATTTTTAACTAAACTATACATAAATAAAACTAGTTTTTAGCCATTTAAACAAAGCTAAATAAGATGTAAATATTAGATGAAAAACTAAGTACTAAAATGACTAAAACTAAATTATAAATTAATTAAACCTTATGGAAATGTTAAAGACAAAAACTAAATCAAATACAAATAAAAATTACTTTAAAGGGGAGGTCTAATGCTATTTCATGCATGTTGAGTTATTTACACTGTTACAGAGTTGGATTCTCATGCTAAACATGGCCAAAGTTTAAACGATATGAATCTAGAACGGAGTATTTCTGTGTCAAATATACTCTTTCCGGTTTTGTACAAGTTTCGGAAAGTTTTTTTCGAGCTTGGCTCTTCGTGACGTAATGAAGGGTGGAACTCCTTGTATGGGCATTTCTCCCTGAAGAGCGCGCCCACGCACACAACGACCAGAGCAAGAGCAAGCGTGCCCATCAAGGCGCTTCATTTGGCTGCACTGAACGGGACTTGCACGAGAAGAATGTCTCCAAAAAAGTGTGTTTTTGGCTGTAAGGGAAAGATAACCTAGTTCAGCTTACCAAAGAACCCAGCGTTACGTAAAAAGTGGATGCAGTTTGTTTTTCCAGGGCAGCAATGGAGTTTTGCAAGTGTGTTTGTTGATGAACATTTTATAAACAAGGCCCAGTTCGGCGCTGGATTTGCACATCGTTTGATACTGGAAGATGGAGCGGTCCCAGCTATAAAAGATCCCAGTCATGATTCAGAACTGCAGAAGGTAAGTGAAACTGCATCAAATGTCTGTGTTTTGTTGGCAATCTGACAAGTGCTCATCACTCTTTAGCTCCGCCCACGGCACGCCTCCAGGAGCTCGGCTGTTTTCGGAGAGAATCGGAAAGCTGTATTTTTCTTTTATAAATATGATAAAACTAAAGACTTTTTGGAGCTATGATGAACGATGCTATACTACTCTATAGGTACTCAAGATCAACATGAGACTGGGTGAAACTGTGTGTGTTATGTCCCTTTTAAACTAAAGTTGCATATAAAATATAGAAGCTACAGCTAATTTACAATAATAATCAATACTACAATAGTATATAAATAATGATAAAATAACACTGTTTATAAAGTCTAATTACTATTGATGTTACAATATTAGAAATTACATGGCAAATACGAGAAACAAAGATGAAATATAAACTTGTGAAATATTAAACAATAATGAAAAACACACTTTTTTAATAACGCATTGTGAAAGAGGCAAACAATGTACCACAAGAACTATGCATAAAAGCTGCAATGAAGGTGTTTAAAAGGGCACTGTTAATTCTGAGGGAATAACATTTTTGTTCATCATCTTCATCATCATCATAACCTCCTCAAAAAAAAAGACTTACATTTTTTAGTAATAAACAACTTATTTTTAATGAAAGACAATATAAGGATCTTTTGAATAGATGAACCCGAAGTACCCTGAAGAAAGAAATACACATTGACTATACAGCTACAGCCCAAAAGCACAGATATTTGTAGAGAAATTATAAACATATGCTCATGTAACACACCTCTCCATCTCTCTCAGTAAGCATGGCAGGACAGTTGGCATGGCATAGCTGCAGCTGAATTTCCTGCCAAAAGGAACATCACACAGCACAGCATCAACCGTCCCATCTGCAAGAGGGATCTCTGAGGAACAGAAAAAAAGTATATTAATGAAGGAGACAAGGCTCTTTTAATTTATTTACTGTGTGTTACATGCACACATTGGTGTCCCAAAAATGCTGAAAATGTTCACTGTTAATTCTGAGGGAATAACATTTTTGTTCATCATCTTCATCATCATCATAACCTCCTCAAAAAAAAAGACTTACATTTTTTAGTAATAAACAACTTATTTTTAATGAAAGACAATATAAGGATCTTTTGAATAGATGAACCCGAAGTACCCTGAAGAAAGAAATACACATTGACTATACAGCTACAGCCCAAAAGCACAGATATTTGTAGAGAAATTATAAACATATGCTCATGTAACACACCTCTCCATCTCTCTCAGTAAGCATGGCAGGACAGTTGGCATGACATAGCTGCAGCTGAATTTCCTGCCAAAAGGAACATCACACAGCACAGCATCAACCGTCCCATCTGCAAGAGGGATCTCTGAGGAACAGAAAAAAAAGTATATTAATGAAGGAGACAAGGCTCTTTTAATTTATTTACTGTGTGTTACATGCACACATTGGTGTCCCAAAAATGCTGAAAATGTACTCACCCTCAGGCCACCCAAGATGTAGATGAATTTGTTTCTTTATCAGAACAGACTTGGAGAAATTTAGCATTACATCACTTGCTCACCAATAGATGCTCTGCAGTGAATGGGTGCCGTCAGATTGAGAGTCCAAACAACTGATAAAACATCACAATAATCCACAACATGACTCCAGTCCATCATTTAATGTCTTTTGAAGTGAAAAGCTGCATGTTTGTAAAAAACAAATCCATCATTAAGATGTTTTTAACTTCAAACCGGTGCTTCTGGCTAAAACACCAGTCCTCTATCCAATAACATTGCTTTCTCCAGTGAAAAGGTCATATTGTCTGAATCAGGAGAAAAATACAGATCCGCAAAGCGCCGTTTAAAAGTGAAAACAATCTAGAATAGTTCTAAACAAATATGTCGGTGGATTTTGATGTGAGAGGACACCAGAGGATGTATTTTCATTGGAGGAAGCATTACTGAGGATTATGGACAGGTGTTTTGGCCAGAAGCGACGGGTTAACATTAATACACCTTAATGATGGATTTGTTTCTTACAAACGCACAGCTTTTCACTTCACAAGACATACACTGATGGGCTAGAGTTGTGTGAATTACTGTGGATTATTGTGAGGTTTCTATCAGCTGCTTGTACTCTCATTCTGACGGCACCCATTCACTGCAGAGGATGCATCAGTGAGCAAGTGATGTAATGCTAAATTTCTCCAAATCTGTTCCGATGAAGAAAGAAACTTGAGTAAATTTTCATTTTGGATGAGCTTTTCCTTTAAGGTACATTAACAATATGGTCACACAAATTTCTGACTTTATCACAAAATGTTTTCATTGGGGAAAGGTAACCCCCAATAACCAAAACTATCAGGTACCATTTATTGTAGGCTTATTTATTGTGGCAAATTTAGTTTTAGAACTTGTTTTAGAAATGTTAATAGATAATCTGTTAAGGGAATTGATTTTTCCCTATAGATCTATATTACAACTGTGGCATGTTGTAGGCAGCTATTGTTTCTAAATGTGCAGGCTGTTGTTTTTTCATTACAAATGCTATATATTTTAATTTAAAAAAGTAATTATTGGCCTGGTAATGATTAATAGGCTAGCCTTATTCTAACAAATGCTACAGTTAAGAACTATGGTACATTTTCATAAGAGTAAGTACAAGTCAGAATCGAGAGCCGTGTAAAATGGGTTCTAATGATGAGTGATGGAAAAACCTGGCCTTCAAATATTCAGAAATGGCATAGATTAAATCATTAAGAGCCTGATGAACTGTTAAGGAGTAAGAAATAAACAATATCAATATAAGAAAATGTTAGAAATTAGAACATTCTGTCAAACTATAGCCTATGAGTGCCTAAACATTATATATCCTATGTAAACAAGTACTTGTTAACTAGGCTATTACTTTATTGCAGTTATGTTATCAACAAACTTTGCATGTGTGGATGACAGCACAAAAAAAAACGTTTTACAAAAATACACATAAGCAACCAAACAAACCTTATGAGGGCCATGACCCGGGACTCCACTAAAGCAGTTCACACTTCAACACCCCCACCCACCCCACGTTTAAACCAAAACTACACCCTTGACACAGATCACCCTTGACAAATTTAAAGTTGGCTAAACGGGGTCAGAGATGATGAAAGAGGAGAGAGTTTGTCCAAACCTATGGCAGAAGACTGAAGTAGCTGCACTCTTCCTTCCATTCCAGATGCTTTCACTTCTCTGCAGCTTTCTGCAACTGTGACTAGAAAGTCTAAATCCATGCCTAGAAATACAGCATTCTGAACCCACACACAATGTATACAGTTAGTCAGATGTGAATGCTGTGTGTGACAAGTTGCACATGGAGTTTAGAGTGTGTGATGTGTGTTTTTACGAACTGAATACTCCTGAGCTGCTTCCAACAGCACAGCACCAACTCTACACACTGGGTCTAAAATCACACAATCATTCAGCTGTGGAGAGAGAGTTGTTTTTTTAGCAGCTAATTTAATAGTAATAAAGTAAGTTTAATTCATTTTTATTAATGTGAAATTATATTATGTATAATACCAAATATCATACATTTTATTAAATAAAACATGTATAATAACCTATTAAAATTAGAGCAGCAAAAGTGTTTTGAACCATTGAATGGTAATATGTATATTCTTAATCCGCTTGATGTGTCATTTTCTTTCTAGTTGTCAAGATAAGAACTTGTCAGGTACGAATACGTTTCCCACCCCTCACTCCCAAGGAACTACAGATGCTGTTTTAATGCTGCTGATTTATTGATTCTACTGTGTGTGTGTGTGTGTGTGCATTTGCCTCTTTAAAAGCTATTCTAGACCTCACCTTTTTAGGACAAAGAGAGCTCATGGCCCAGGCTATCGTAGAACGTAACCCATTGTGTTTCATATAAGTTCGACTGGCCAGAGGATGCCTGAAGATTCCACACACACTGCATTAGATATGAAATTGATAAACTTTCAAATGTTATATGGAGAGATACTTACTTCAAGAGAGGGATGCCTACAATGCAATGGTCATCTCATTGTAATTGTAAACATATCAGTGCATATGTAGTCTTTGTTTGCATGCATTAATGAATAAACATTTGAATGCCTGTGGTTCAGTGTGTGTTTATGCATTTATTGTCTTTTTTAATTTTATTATTTGAGTGTGCATACCTCAAGAACAGGCTCACTTAGGTCCACCTTCCACCCAAGATCTTTGATGGCCATCCCAATGATACGACTCTCTCTAAACATACACACAGAAACACAAGTCAGGTTTATAAATGCATAAATATTTTTTATCAAAATATAGTGGTGTCCAAATTTGACACCACCAATTAAAATGACTATTTTTAGCATTTTTTACAATTAGAGACATTTTAGTTACAATTGATATTGCAATATTGACATTGATATTACATAACAATTTGCATTTAAAAATGTAAACATTAGCTTAATTAATCATTAACATTTTTTATCCTCAAGTGTCTGTTTATTACAAGGTTTAAATTAGACTGCATTATACAGAACACTTAAAAATCACACAGAACAATTAAAAATTATATATATTTTTTTAAAAACACCTGAGAGGTATAAGAGCAGGCAATGACTCCACTACAGCGGCACCTCACTCTGAAGGACGGTGTGTGCGAACTGTCCTCCTCATCCTCTCTCTTTCTCTTCTGTCCACGCTGCTGGCTGCACTGAAGCTCTTGCTGTAGGACTGTCCAGTTTAGGAAGGTCTGCCTCCAAACGTCTGGATCTCCAACAACTCAGCTTTATAACAGCAGCTGTCTTTGCTATTAAAACAAGAAAAGGGAAGATCAGTAAAATGGGCTGCATGTAAGTAAAATGTAGTACACTGCACTGGTTTCTTATCTCTTGAATACCTAAATAGGCAAGTGATGCACTGAAAGCTTCTCACAACCTGCTGACTGGCTAAAACCAAATGTGATTTCACTAATGCAAATCAGACTTGCTGGAAGGTTCATAGTATGTTCACTAAAATTTTCTTTGTTTGTTTGTCCAAGCAGATTTTTGCACACTAAATAAAAGTTGCCACACAGTCCGTTTTTTACTCTTTATGATGTCATATTTCTCAACCAATCAGAACACTGAATTCTCATTCATACACACCTGGGTTGTTGGGAAGTGAAATTGGTTCAGCTTTGCGCAAAAGGAGAAACGGCATCTCGGCAGACTTGAGTTGTGTCACGGTGTGTAGATCAGGGGCGTGTCTACGTGGTGGCCAGGGGTGGCACCGGCCCCCCCTGAAATTTGGCTGGCCACCCCAAGTGCCCCCCCTACCATATGTCTTGCCATAGGCATGTTTTTAGTAAATTGATCAGTGTGTAGATCAGTGTGTAGGTTACCCGCCTGTCAAAATTAAACCTGCTATTTACAGACTTTCTAAATATAGATATGATAGATATGGAACTCTGACATGCAATATTAATATTATCACAAGGTAATTTTTTAAGTGTCTTAGTACTTTCCTCCATCTGTTTTTTCCCTCTTTTGCAATTTTTATTTTTTATTTTTTTATTTTTACATTGCAGTTAAGGAATCCAGCCTAGTCTAGCCTATTCTTCATTTTACAAAATATATTGTAAATGGTTTTGTAATATTTTCCCATATTTCTCACTTTCAGAAAAGGTTTTAAATGTTTACAGTGCCTCTCATGGCCATGCAGAAAATTAACAGATAACATCGAAAATGACTTTCCATTTAGTAGAGCAAATCTCACATGTAATAGAAACAGCATTTAATGTACCTCAGTGGTAAACATGCTAAAAACAGGCCCGACCTTTCACATGTACGCAAACCCACTCAAGCTAACAGCATATTTATTGGCACAAATAAACACACAACATGATTAGCATTTTGTTCAGTTTATTGCTGTAAAAATTTTCCATGACCATAAAAAGTTGTTTGAAACAATGTAGCAATGGAAAAAAATGCATCAGTCAGGGACAACTTTTATATAACAAAGTTTAATAACCAGAAAACAAACCACAAATCAAAACAAGAACAAACTCCATTTTACAAAATAAATCAATTAACCTACTATGCAATTCTTTTTCTTTTAATGTCCATTGTTTTGTTTTGTTTTTACATTTTGATCAACCTTCCAATGCCCATCAGTCTGAATGTCCACAGACAGGTGTGGGGGCAAGATCTTTTATTCAGCTCTACTTCATTGCCACTGCACTCAGCTGGTCCCTGATTCGACCCAAACCGTCTATCATGGTGTCCAGTGTCTCTTTACTCAGCTCCATTGTAACTGTAGACTCACTTGGACCGCCACTAATGCAAGGAGTGTCCTGGGGCTACACAGAAACACATACACAGAGTTGTGAGAGGTCTTTTGAAAGATAATTAAAAACATTGTTAAATCTTGAATAAAAATGATTACATCAATCAAAATGAGGTCTTAAAACAATGTTGCATTATTATTACAGATAAATATATTTAATTAGATATCTGGGCCCGTATTCACAAAACATCTCAGGCCGATTTAAGAGAAAATCGTAAAAATAATGGGCGTGTCAATCCTAAATTTAGGACTCCTACATTTTTGCTCTAAGAGTATTTCACAAAGCATTTTAGCACTAAAACTAGCTCCTAAATCTGTGAAAGGTTAGTAGTAGTGAAGAGGACTAAGACCCAGTCACAATCTGTCCTAAAATGGCTGTTGCCGGCAATCTGCTTCTGAACGTAAACATTTTAGAAACATTTGATGATAATGACCTTTTAAAAAGGTATCACCTTTGGTTTTGGAGGTTATCCGAATTCTAAATTTTCCTTTGATTATATCCTTGTTTTTATTAACCAGTTGGGCAAGAAGTAACAGCTGGTCTTGCACCCAGTTTGTTTGGATTTTTTTTAATGTTTGCATCTCTTACTATCAGCCATGATTATTCTACTCTGTTAATTAAAAGGCTGTTTATAGGCATAAACCCTATTGCTAATTGCTTTTGAGAAGCACATATGTAAGAGGCTGACAATTAGCTGAAGATATACTTGTTTAATTAACAAAAATTCAATTTTTAAACCTTTATTTGAATATGGCAATATAATATTGCACTCTACAATATTTCTATGAATAAATCTCTGACAGAGACTATCAGCCAATCACTGTGTGCATAGTTAGTAAGCATGCTGACATCATCCATAGCAACAAGGTCAACCCCGCCCTTACTCTTAGCTTAAGACTTCTCTCTATTCCTTAGTAAAAGTTTGTCTCAGCAGCTTTGTGAATAGGTTTAAGAGAAAACTCTTAGCTGAAAACTTTTACTGCTATTTAGGAGAACTCTTAGTGGTAAGATAAAAGGTTTTGTGAATACGGGCCCTGATGAGCCTAAATATAAATTATATTATAGCATTGATTATGCCTGTAGCTTACTTTCATTTGCAACAGACACATGGCACAGCCATACGACTCAATGAGTCGGAAGCAGTTTTCATGTCCATGCGCCACTCCAAATCAACCAGCTTTGGCTATTTCAACTATTTCACACTCACTTTGACTGGACAAAGCTTCATTTGTCTATGTGACACTGAAAATATTCATACCAAAAACAGGTTACATACTAGTCAGCAGGGTAAATTACTTAAGTAGATTTATGTAAGGATCTGAAAGATATATCTACCTGTTTTTCAAAAGAATTTTGGTGATCAGATTTTTCAGGTTTGAGTGGAATGATTCTGGGAAAAGTGACAGGATCTGTTCTGGAGAGGTTAAATTCTGGTACACAACATAATGCGAGAGCATGTGAAAAGCTGTCAGCAACTGTAAATTAATAAAAATAAAGGAAATATTATAATGAATATTAATCCATTCAATCCCACTGGTAACATTTGTAACCAAAATATACCTTTGAATTAGGTCACATTTATGACCAGCCCTGATAGCACATCACGGAGATGTCTATTTGACGTCTGCATTTAGGCCTACTTCTGCAAGATGTATTTTTTTAATAGTGTTTGATCATCTGCAATATGTCTCTGAGATGTTTCCTATCAGATGTCAAATAGATGTTTAGATGTTGTCTTTAAGATGTTTTTTAATTTAGAATGTATGTAAAAGTGACATCTTAAAGATGTCTATCAGGGCCCGTATTCACAAAACATGGCTAAAAGTAGATCATAACTCGCCGATTTAGGAGAAAATCTTTAAAATAATGGGTGTCTCAGTCCTAAAGTTTTTATCTAAAAGTATTTCACAAAGCATTTTAGTGAAACGTTAGGAGTAGTGAAGAGGACTCCAAGACCAAACCACAAACTATTCCTAAAATGGCTGTTGCTGGCAATCTGCCTTGGAACGTAACCATTTTAGAAATATTTGACGATAATGAGCTTTTATAAAGGTATCACCTTCGATTTTGAAGGTTAATCATGACTCAATTTACGTCACCCAATATGCTATTTGAAAAACACTTAAATCAAAAGAAACCTACTCAAGACAGTTTCTATAAACATTTATTTTGATTGGCTGCAGGGACAGCTCAAACAAGGACACCATAATGTTTAAGAACTTTAGTATATTCTGCGATCTTGCTTTCAACGTTCTTTTCTGCCTGTTTGGTCAGCTTGATCTGAGTTTTCTTCTTTGTGTAGCGCAGCTTGGCCTTCTCCTTCCTCTTTTCCTCCAGAGTGGCGGTGATGGCCTGGTACTTCCAGCCAACTTCATGGGCCAAACGTCCAAGCAGGGCAAACTACGATGAACGAGACATCAGAAAAAAGGGTTACTATTGGGGCACAACACGGTCTTTAAATCAAACACCAGAATTAAAATGCAGAAATCTACTGTTTTGAACATTCTGGGCTTCATAATCCGGGTAAAAGGAAGCTGCTGCTTTTTGTCTCAGCTGGTAGTGCATGAAGTGGACTCATGGTCGTTAAACTCATACTTATGGTGGAAAAACATCACCGACAAAAAGCAATTTCATATTACATTGACGACTATTCCATAAAAAGACTCACTCTGCGTGTGGGCTTCAGACGCACAATCTTGAGGGCAGCTGGGACGACCATACGCTTTCTCTGTGGAACACAAACACATGAGAAACCACAAGAAAAAAACA